AGCTTAACCAACTAAACACTAAAAAGAACGTTCAAAATGTCTGCCTTGTGCATATAAGTAAGCCCGTAATGTTTCCAAATTTTGATCATTTTTTTTATAAAAGTTGGTTACCAGTAGTTGCTATTGCTAAGATAAAACTGATTTTGGCAAATACCCTCTAAGAAAAGAGAGGATGCGTGGGTGGAGCTAGTAGCCGCTAAGATAAGACTGATTTTGACAAATGACATATCCTCTAAGAAAAGAGAGGGTGGGTGGGCGGGGCTAGCACGTACTAAGAAAATGCTGATTTTGGCAAAAGAGATCCCCCTAAGAATATAAGGGCGGATGGGCGGGGTTTGTACCTGTTACAATAAGACCGATTTTTGCAAATGACATACCCGCTAAAAAAATAGAGGGTGGGTGGGCGGAAGTGACTTCTGGACCCGGACCCTGAAAGAAAATGTATTTAGTTAAATTTCGAAAATCGTCAAAAATGGGTCGAAATTTTCATAGTCGAAAATTTCATTTTTGAAAAAGTCGTCTAAACATTGTGAAAAAGCTCAAGATTATAGATTTTGACGTGCTGATCCAAAAATATAGAGTGTTTAGGGTCACGGAGTAATATTTTCGAAAAATTCGGTACGAAATTCGAATTTTTTTGCCTATATTTCAATTGGTTATTCTGGAAAAACAGTTATAGTTATCAGAGAAATAAGGCCGGAAATGACCTGAAACCTAAAAGAGAATGTATTTAGTTAAATTTCGAAAATCGTGGAAATTTGAATACACGGTGGAAAATTTTTTTTTTGATAAAGTCGTCTAAAAATTCTCAAAAAGTTTAGGATTATAGATTTTGACGTGCTAATTCCAAAAGTATAGGGGTTTAGGATCATCGAGCAATTTTTCTAAATATTTGGGGTGAACTTTGATTTTTTTTTATTTTTATAAATCACTATATTTCAATCGGCGATTCTGGGAAAACTGTTAAAATTATCATGGAAATGAGACCGGGAATGACTTCTGTCGCCCGAAATCTACGAGAAAATTTAAAAAATCGTCGAAAATGGATCAAAAATTTGCATAAGCGGGATAAATGTGAAGGGTTTCATTTTTGAAAAAGTCATCTAAAAATTCTCACAAAATTCAGGGATATAGATTTTGACGTGCTAATTCCAAAAATATAGGGTGTTTGGGGTCATCGAGCAATTTCTCGAAATATTCGGGGTGAAATTTGATTTTTTTTTTTAATTTTTAAAAATCACTATATTTCAATCGGCGATTCTGGAAAAACTGTTAAAGTTATCAAGGAAATGAGACCGGGAATGACTTCTGTCGCCCGAAATCTACAAGAAAATGTGTTCAGTTAAATTTAAAAAAATTGTCAAAAATGGATCAAAATTTGCATAAGCGTGATAAATGTGAAAAGTTTCATTTTTGAAAAAGTCATCTAAAAATTTCCAAAAAATTCAGAGTTATAGATTTTGAAGTGCTAATTGAAAAAGTATAGTCTTTTTAAGGTCATCGAACAATTTTTCGAAATATTCGGGGTGAAATTTGTTTTTTTTTTAATTTTTAAAAATCACTATATTTCAATCTGCGATTCTGGAAAAACTGTTAAAGTTATCAAGGAAATGAGACCGGGAATGACTTCTGTGGCTTGAAATCTACAAAAAAATGTATTCAGTTAAATTTAAAAAATCGTCGAAAATGGGTCAAAATTTGCATAAGGGGGATAAATGTGAAAAGTTTCATTTTTGAAAAAGTCATCTAAAAATTCTCAAAAAATTCAGGGATATAGATTTTGACGTGCTAATTCCAAAAGTATAGGGTGTTTAGGGTCGTCGAGCAATTTTTCGAAACATTCGGGGTGAAATTTGATTTTTTTTAATTTTTAAAAATCACTATATTTCAGTCGGCAATTCTGGAAACTACTGTTAAAGTTATCAAGGAAATGAGACCGGGAGTGACTTCTGTGGCCCGAAATCTACAAGAAGATGTATTCAGTTAAATCTAAAAAATCGTCGAAAATGGATCAAAATTTGCATAAGCGGGATAAATGTGAAAAGTTTCATTTTTGAAAAAGTCATCTAAAAATTCTCAAATAATTCAGGGTTATAGATTTTGACGTGCTAATTCCTAAAGTATAGGGTGTTTAGGGTCATCGAGCAATTTTTCGAAATATTCGGGGTGAAATTTGATTTCTTTTTTATTTTTAAAGATCACTATATTTCAATCGGCGATTCTGGAAAAACTGTTAAAATTATCAAGGAAATGAGACCGGGAATGACTTCTGTGGCCCGAAATCTACAAGAAAATATATTGAATTAAATTTAAAAAATCGTCGAAAATGGGTCCAAATTTGCATAATGTGAAAAGTTTCATTTTTGAAAAAGTCATCTAAAAATTCTCAAAAAATTCAGGGTTATAGATCTTGACGTGCTGATTCCAAAAGTATAGCGTGTTGAAGGTACCGGAGCAACATTTTAGAAAAATTGGGTTTGAAATTTGAATTTTCTAAAATTTTTAAATAATGCTATACTTCAATGGGTGATTCTGGAAAGACGGTTGGAATTATCGAAGAAATGAGGCCCGAAGTGACTTCTGCAGCCTAAAATCTACAAGAAAATGTATTTAGTTACATTTCGAAAAAAATTCAAGAGTATAGATCCCGACGTGCTGCTTGCAAAAATATAAAGTTTCACGGAGCTACATTTTCGAAAAATTCGGTGTGAAATTCGAATTTTTTGATTTTTTTAAAAATTGCGATATTTCAATCAGCGATTCTAGAAAAGTGGTTGGAGTCATGGAATAAATGAGACCGGAAGTAACTTCTGCTATCCGAAATCTACAAGAAAGTTAGTTAACTTTCGAAAATCGTCGAAAATGGGTCGAAATTTGCATAAGTGGGGACATAGTGGAAAATTTCATTTGTGAAAAAGTTGTCGAAAAATTCTTAAAAGTTTCAGAGTTATAGATCTCGACATGCTGATTTCAAAAAATATAGAGTTACGAATGTATCTATTATCCATTGTTGCTTAAAAAAAACTTTATTTTTGTTTAATATAATTAAGGTTTATTTCTTGAAGTTTGTTTTTAGCAATGTATGAAGTTGTTATTCAACTACCGTTCAGATTTTTGGGAAATTCGTTGATCTGAACAAATCGCCAATCCGAACACACCTTTTCCCCAATGAATACGGATTATCGAGATTATAACTTACGAAACTTATTTTGAGATTTTAATTTCACATCCATGTTTCTAACTTTAGCTTCACGAGTTATCCTTCCAAAAAAGAAAATTGTACAACGAAATTTTACAATTTAGTAATTTTACTGACATAAATTTAACTTAATGGCTCCATTAAAGGCAATCAGTTTCAAAGCTTGAATCAAAGACAGGCCGAGTCGATATCGAATCGACAGAAGTTACAAATAACAGAGTTATTTTTATTTCTATTCTTGGAGTGTCTTTGTTACTAAAGCAAGTGCTTTTAAATTTTTCTTTAAAAGTAAATACGTAGAAAGAAAAATACCGTTGATTTGTCTTCCAAATACGTCTGCTTCTCTAAATAAATCCAAAAAAAAGGACACAGTAATTATCACTTGCAGCGTTCATTTTTATGGTGGCTAATTAAAAGGGATCAAATTTTAGAATTTATTTTAAAATGAAGTTTCTTAATAACTTAAGTAGCGTTTTTATAATTGTTTAGTTATTACATTTTTTTTACAAAATTACCATTTGGTTCAAAAACACACCTGATATTTTACGTTGAAAATTTAAAAAACACTAAAAACTCTTAAAAACCGTAGTTTTTACATGTTGTGTGTTCATTTGGAAACATTGTAGGTATGAATATAAATTACATATCTCAATTTGTAATTTGTTAGCTTGAATTTACGAAACGAAAACACCTCACGGGGATGTTTGAAATAAGGGTTGGCCTCCTAGACACACCCCTTAACTCATTCCGTACGTCCTTATTTTGTATAAAAGTAAAATAATATCCAAGTAAGAAAGGGTAATAGTGATTAGCATGTTTGTGAGCTTATTACCTGCCGTCAAAGCTGAAAAAAGACCTCGTTACAATATGGTTTCGATAGAAATCTAGAGCACCAAAGTTAAGCTCGTACCTTATTAACATTATCCAAACAAAATGAAAGCATAAAGGTGTAACGTAATCTAAACTGAGGGCGTTCACCCAAGCTGTCATTTGCACTTAACGTGGTGAATGAAACGATTATGTCTTACGTAAAGGAATTCCTAAACTTGTAGCTCTTTGTGTGGTTTATTTATGTAAAGTTAGCTTTATAGTGTGAGAAGTTATAAATAGATATTTAATATTTTTCTCTTCTTAATATGTGTAGTTCTAACTGCAGTTTGTTTTTTTTTTATGTGAATAAAATTCAAAATATAAATGTACCCAGCAGCTAGGGCTATTTGACTGCTCCGCCTCCTCACTCCGGGTTTCCATGATCTCTAAACACTTAGGTAGAATAAAGTAGACAAGGATCAAAATTTCCTGTAGTAGTTAGTGTGGTTTTTTTCCAATAATGAATATTTATTTAATAAAGTTATCAGGGGCAGATTTTAGATGGGAAGTAGTATTTTTTTTATATACATGAAAGAATTTATTTTGTAAACACTCACTCTGAAACTAGACTCGTGCCTCACGTATTCCCCATAAATTAAACCTCATAGAACCTAATCCAAATTGACCGCATTCGTCCTAATTGATAAAGTGAAACTCCCAATCAACTCCACCCTTCTCGAAAACTTTCCTGTCTTCCCACACCTCCCTCCAAATTACAAAAGTGCAACACAATAAAAGCTCTTTATTCGATTCTAAAAATACACCCGTAACCTTACCCCCATAAAAGTGCCCTCTCGGGATCATTTTCTTGCAAACTGACACGTCTCCACTAACTCACCTACATGAAAGCTCTTGATTCAAACCGCATCGGCGGAAATTGATCGCGAGCTTTCACCTTCAACCGAATTTCTCAAATTCATTACTTTCCCAGGTGACAAACGGAGACGCCAAGCTGCTCCAGAACTCGTCCTCGACCAACATGCCAAACGCAAACTCCAGCCAGAACGTGCTGGCGGCACGAAGAGGCGTCATCAAGATGCTGATAATTGTCGTTTGCGCCTTCGCCGTGTGCAATTTGCCGTTCCACGCGCGAAAAATGTGGCAGTATAGGTCTGCGGACTACGATGGAGGCTCCAACTTCAGCGCTCTGTTCACTCCATTAACTTTTCTAGCGACGTATTTCAACTCGGGGGTCAACCCGCTGCTCTACGCTTTCCTGTCGAAAAACTTCAGAAGGTAAAAGTTGTGTTTTGTTGTGGGTTTAATTGCTTGATTCAATGTCTCGAGGGGATATGGAAGATATTATTTTACGCGTTTCGGGTTTTATGGGGCATTTTCGGTATTTATCTTTATAGAGTTGGTCGGGGTGGCCTGTGTATACAGAATGGATTGTTTGCCTTGCTGTAAATAGTTCTAGCCGCTATGGAGTGGATATTACGTTGACCTATATTTTTTACTAACAAACGAATTGGACGTATTCCACCGTGGAAAATTGAATTTCCATATAAAGTATTTTTTAATATATTTATATTGCGCGGAAGTTATCCCTGTAGTAGCGTCGGCATACAGAATTTATTTTTGCTATGATATATGTATTTAAATTTTATAAAATAACATACTCCTGTGTTTGTGGTTTATGAATCTACGTTGATTTTTTATCACGATTACTTTACAAAAATGTTTATTATATAAATTAAAAAAATATATCTGTTACTTGGTTCACGTAGCCAATGTCTGGCTTACGCAGGGAATAAGCACGTCGTGGCCCAGTGGCTAATAATAAGGCGTTAAACTTGAGCGTTCCTTACGTGGGTGAGTTCTACCCACGTGGGGTCGAATCCCATTCTCGTCAATATTTTTTCATAAGGGTTATAATATAAATAAAAATTTTCGATGAAGTTGTTGGACTGTACTTCAGAAGCGAGGAAAATTCTGTCTAAATAACTTTAGACCACACAATGTCGCCACGTTATTCCAATTATTCAAGTCAAATTTTATTCAAATTATTTTAATTTTTTTAAGGACGTCCTGCATTAGTAGAGTAGCAATAAAATACAGATATATGCGCGCGAGTAATGATTCACCCTGTATATGATTACAATAGAACTGCTACATTTCATTTCACTGCTTACCATGTGGTTTTTAGTTTTAACTGCCTCTCTTTAGACTATACCACGTATTTCTTTTATTTGATACAACCCCTATATTTTTTTTATTTTTAAAGATAAACATATAGTTTTTTGAGCAAATTTGTATAATTTTAAAAGATCACTTGTGTGAATAAATGACATGAGTGTCAATTTTTCAAGCTACTAGATTGTTATTAATAGATAAGAATTTTTCATTTATTTTTTGAATAAATTTTCAAGTAGTGATTTTAGAATATTGGTTGCTTTATATTTTTTACAAAAAATCAATCTTTCCATCTATAAAAAAATATACCAAGTGTTCCATAAAAAAAATTAAGTTGACGTCATTTCCGGTTCTACCGGAAATGACGTCAACTTAATGTGATGGCAATCTCACAACGTGAATGTGAGATTGCCATCACATAGATCTTTTAAAATGATACAACTTTGCTCAAAGAACCACACGTTTATCTTTAAGAACAAAAAAGTTACAGGGGTTGTATCAAATAAAAGAAACACCCGGTATAAAATAGTTGTGTATGCAACAAATGAGGAAAGTAATATTTTATCATATGGAGAGTGAATTACCACAAAAATGCAGCGAAATTATATGTGTTCATATTGAACTTTTTCCACACACATGAAAAAGTTCGTTTTTTCGAAATTAATCAAAACATTCCTTGAATAAACAATCAAAAACGTCATGCAGAAAATTGTTGTTGTTTCCCGTTATAATAAAAGATAAAGTTCATAGTCTCCAATTCGTTTCAAGCAAATCAAAAAAAAAATATGGCGTCCATATGACAGATTAAGACAGATGAAGTAAAAAGAAAATTATGATTTTATTTATTTTTTTAACCTTGGTATTCTACGTTAAATACCAACAATAATCGCTCGCATTTCTGAAGAAAAATTCCAGACTTAATTCCGATCTTAAAACCACACCAGCCGTTTCTACAAAAGGACTTCAGCAACTTTGCTGGTGGATTTGGAAGAAACACTACCTATACCTAGTAGTCAAAAAAAAATGCTTGATGAATATAAACTCGATAGTTTTAAATACAAAATTATCAAAAAAATCTTACTTTATTAACTAATAACAGGGTCTCAAAGAGCTAAGCCTTGTACATCTTCAGGAATTAATATACAGGGTGAATCACTAAGCGCACTTTCCACAATATTTTGATTAATTATTGAAAATTAAAAAAAAATAGTACGGTTCTTTGATTAGCAAACACTAAAATTATTTTCAACTTTGTATTTTTGAGGCGCAACATACAACTAGTTTTTTAATGGAACACACTATATATTTTTACTTATTCTTTTAGTAATACAATATTTCGTGGAAGGATAAACAAAGAGACGCGCTTTATTGCAGACTAAATTAAATTGAATCTTAATTACAGAGTGTTTATAAAACAAACTTAAAATATTACAATTTCCAAAGATCAAATAAATTTAATTTTTTAACACCTGTATTTTGTTACCGCATCATACTTTGGTTTTTACGTCCCAGGCGTACGCTAAGAGAGTATAGTAATCGAGTCCATCGGACGAATGGCCACTTTTATATTTTCTCGACGTTTCATGAACCCTAGAGTACGAAAAAAATTGTCTCTCGTTTCCATCTATCTGTCTGTCTGTCTGTCTGTCTGGTGTCTATACACCATGTCTATAATCTCCGAATCTGCTGGACCGATTGTTGTCAAATTTTGTATATACATATATTAAATATATCATGTAGATGGTTAAATCCTAACTAAAATTTTGCTAATCATCCCACCAACAATTTGATGACGTCATTCCCAAGAATTCTATGTTTATTTGCTTTAACTGTTATACAACAATATAGTCCTATATACAGGGTGTCTGGAAAATAGCGGATTAATTCTTCAGTACGTTATGTACTAGGGTTTGGGGAGTCCCAAAAAAATTATAAAAAAATCTTTTTACCGTAGACTACGAAAAAACGTAATTTTATAAAAGTAAAATTGGCAACACTGCATGCACCTAATACGTGAATACCTAAGGCTTACCTTCTGATTTCTTAGTAATAATGGTGACTGAAATCCATCTTTTATTTTTTAAAAAAGACAAAATGAGCCTTATCTTAGCAAGTACAAGCCCCGCCCACCCGCCCTCTATTTTCTTAAAGGGTATATCATTTACAAAAATCAGTCTTATTTTTACAAATACTAGGACCACCCACCCGCCCTTTATTTTCTTAGAGGGTATATCATTTGCCAAAATCAGTTTTTACATAGCAAGTACAAATCCGGCCTACTCACCCTCTATTTTCTGAAAGTGTATATCATTTGCAAAAATCAGTCTTATTTATACAAGTACTAACCCCACCCACCCGCCTTTTATTTTCTTAGAGGATATAATTTTAATACAATAATGAACGACCAAACCGAAATAAACAAATCTCCCTTACTTAACATAAATTTGTAAACACTATAGCTAGTACCTGCTAAAATAACACCGATTTTGGCAAATAACATACCCGCTAAGAAAATAAAGGGCGGGTGGGCGCGTGTAATACCTGCTAAAATAAGACCGATTTTGGCAAATGACATACTCTCTAAGAAAAGAGAGGGTGGGTGGGCGGGGCTAGTACCTGCTAAGATAAAACTGATTTTGGCTAATGACATTCCCATGTGAGAAAAGAGGGGGTGGGTGGGTGGGGCTAGTACCTGCTAAGATAAGATTAATTTTGGCTAATGAGATACCTTGTAAGAATAGAGAGGGTGGGTGGGCGGGGTTAGTACCTGCTAGGATAAGGATGATTTTGGCAAATGACATAGCAAACACCCTCTACAAAAAGAAAGGACGGGTGGGCGGGGTTAGTGCCTGCTAAAATAAGACCGCTTTTGGAAAATGGTAATGTTTTTAAAAATGTAAAACCTCCTCGGGGGCGCTAAATGTTTTTATTTTAGAATGTGAAACCTTCACGGGGGCGCTAAAAGTCTTTTTTTTAATGTGAAACCTCCTCGGGGGTCCCAACTGTCTTTTTCAGAAATGTAAAATTCTCTCGGGGGCACCAAATGTCTTTTTTAAGAATGTGAAACCTTCTCTGGGGCCTCAAATTTTTTATTTTAAGAATATGAAACCTTCTCCGGTGTCTCAATTTTTTTTTTTTTAAGAAAACGAAACTTTCTCTGGGGCCCAAAGTGTCTTCTGTTAAGAATATTGTTTCTTCTTGAGGCTTCCAAGTCTCTTTTTACTTCCCGAGCGTAAGCAAAGGAAGTATTGTAATCGAGTCCGTCGGCCGACTCTCTGCTTTTACGTTTTCTCGATCTTTCATGACCCCTAGAAGACGAAGAAATAGGTCTCCCATTTCCGTCTGTCTGTCCGTCCGTCTGTCCGTCCGTCTGTCCGTCTGCCGTCCCGGATTTTTATTAGACAGATAATCTCCGAAAGTACTGGACCGATTGTTGTGAAATTTTGTACTTATATTAGGAATATCGTGTAGATGGTAAAACGCTAACCAAAATTTGTCTAATCATCCCCACCACTAATGCGATGACGTCACTTCAAAATTGTACATAGTAAATAGGTCTTAAATTGTATAAAATAACATAGTCCTACACATGTAGTTTACGACTCCGAATTCAGTTTTTACCCGAAACGTCCAGATTTTTGGAAAAAAAAACAAAATTATAAAACAACATTTTGCAATTTAATTTTGAATCTGCTAACCCGAATGTTTTGAAATGTTGCAGATGTTTTAAGGCTCTAAAGAGCATCATAAATCTTTAGTCAAAATATATTTGGTTATCCCCTCCAAAAACTTGATGACGTCAGCTCAAAAGTTTGCCAAATAAATCCTATCTAAAATGTACAAAATATGATGCGTCTGTGCTTGTGATATATCACTACATTCATATTTTTTGGATTTGCATATACAGGGTGACTCAAAAAAATTAATGAATGCGCAAAATTTATTTTACTGATTTACTCATTAACTACAAAACCGAATGCTTCGAAATCTTGAAGATGTTTTAAAGTTATCATAAGCATGGTAAATTTTTTATCAAAATGTATTTGGTCGTCCCTCCTAAAAAATTTATGACGTCACCACAAAATTTTGCCGAATAAATCCTA